CTGCAAACTTCTTATTATGAAAAACTGCTTTGAAAAATTCTTAAATTTAAAGTATTAAATAAGGCATGCATGTTCAAAATGGTGTTGATTTCACTAGTCTTTCATTTAACAGAAAATAAGAAGCCCCCTCTGCCCCCAACAATATTGAAATGTCCTGTTTACACAGTTTCAGGATGACATGTTTTGATTTTTCATTTTGAAATGACTTTTTGTTTTCAGTTTTTGATTTATATTAATAACAAAATTGAAAAGGGTGAAATTGAGTAAGAACATTTGATTTTGTTGAAATGAAACATTTCAATTGACCTAATTTTTTTCTCCTCCAATTTTCTTTAATTCCTTAATTAGAATGAAGATAAAATATTGAAATCTCAAGATCCCTTTAAAACAGATTTTCCATTCCCCCCAAAAAGATCTGTTTAGAACTAATGAAAATTTATGCAATAATAATTGTCGTGTGGAATTCGGTGCTATAGGAGGTTAATTCAATTACTGTGGCTACTTCTTTTAAGTTCTGAATAGTTTTCTGAACACTAATATGAACCCTAAGCTATGCAAGCTCAGGTAATTAAAGATCCTCAAGATCATATTTCAGGACACAAGTGGATTGCCTGTAGTATCAGGGATGTATACCCCACCTCCACCATTACACACTGGCTAAATTCCATTATAGGGAGATTTTGCCTTCCAAAAAATTGGTAAGAATTTGACCACTACCAGACATACCAAACTTGCCTAGATGCTCCAGTAAGATTTGCCATACCAGAATAGGCTACGTTCCTTTTATATTGACTTCCAACATCAATTTTAGAAGAGTAAACGTAATGACATCCCAGTATTATTTTGAGATTAAATCATTGTAAAAAACACATGTGGTTTGAATTATTGCTTCATTTTAGAAGTGCACAATTGTCCAAATTGCTCTTTGATAAGAGAGAATTCAGAGTCTGTACCAGTTCTTTGTGAACATGCTGCCAGGGGCTCAAATTTGGATACACTATGTTTGATGGCTTAGTTATAAGTACACTCCTGTCCATGGGGGAACACGAATTAAAACAGTCAGACTTCTTTCATTTAGGGCCTCAATCAAGAACTTTATCATAATAAACATTTTAATATGCTTATGCTGCTAATGTTGAGGATACAATTCTGTAATGCCTTCCTTTTTTGCGTAGTGAATTTTAGCCACAGTATTAGTATCATATGTTTTAGGGCCAGATCCTTAGCTAGTGTAAGTCAGTGTAGCATCAATGGATTTTCACCAGCTGAAGAACTGGCCCTTAGACATTTAAATACAAGAGAACCTAACAATATTTTTCACCAAATGTATTTATTTTGTGGTGAAAATGGGTCTGTCCCACAATGAGTTACTGGTCTTATTTTAATCAAAGAATGCAGTACTAAATCACAAAATATTTACTGTAATAATTTGCTGGTACTAAAACACTAAAAATGACTATTTTGTTACAGACTATAAAAGCAGGAAGAGAACTAAAGATGCATAGTGTCATTTCAAATAAAACAAGATTTTCCAGAATCAGTGCTGATGATATTCATATTTTGTGTCAATTACTTAGCTTTGTAACAAAATTAAAAAAAAAAGGCTTAAGTTTATTTTGGTATTTTAACTACTGCAGAGGAGTATAAAGAAAATAAACACTGCGAGGGCTAGAATAAGTAGGGTTACGTTCATAATATAGAGATTAAAGCATAACTCCTACTGACAAAGGGAAGAGCATCATGGTAGTGACAAGAAAATGAGTAGATCTATACTTTGTCATCCATTGGGTATGCATTATCCCCTGGATGTAGAGAGTTAGATTTCTAGATCTATAGTGATTAGTGCATAGAAAGAGTTCTATCTGAGAACATATTGAAAAGATTAGGACCTTAATTAATGGAGGAAATTAATTTGAGAAGATATAATAAAAGTTGGTAATGTTATCAAAGAAGTTTAGTCAGGTGCTGCTATTTACTCTTTCATAATCCAAATACAGGAAGGCAGGCAACAAATTCAAAATGGATACTCAGAATGTAGATAGCCTGAGGGAATTCATTGCTACAAGCTATCATTTAGGGAAAGAGTTTAGTAGGGCTCAAAAAAAGGATTAGGCACTAATATAGATGAGAATATCCACCGTTGCTAACTGATCAGTTCATCTTGCCAGAGTGCTACCAATACATGCCCAATTCCTGGAAAAGCAGCTTGTGAGTTTTCAGAATCTTTGGACAGAAATAAGGATGAAGGCCTGAACCAGCTGCATATCTGAACCCTTATTTTAGACTTAATATGGATCTGGATCTGAACATCATTTCATCAGGCAATCTCTAAAAACCAGCAGGACAGAGGTACCCATAATTCACTCTGGATTCTCAAAATAAAATAACCAGGTTTTCATTCAAATCATCATGACACGCATTCTGAACCTGATGTGCTGCCTTCTGTAAAGCTTTGCATTAGGTAAATCATGAAGGTGTGTGTTGGAGGGTTTAGGAATACTTTGCACGCATGTCATCAACTTTCAAAGCCAGCAGCCTATTTAAAATGACAGCAAACAGAAGAAAGCTGAGCAAGATTACAAAGGCCTGGTCTACACTAACCCCCCAAGTCGAAGTAAGGTACGCAACTTCAGCTACGTGAATAACGTAGCTGAAGTCGACATACCTTAGTTCGAACTTACCGCGGTTCAGACGTGGTCCACACGCGGCAGCCAGGCTCCCCGTCGACTCCGTGGTACTCCTCTCGCCGAGCTGGAGTACCGCAGTCGACGGCGAGCACTTCCTGGTTCGACTTATTGCGTCCAGACCAGACGCGATAAGTCGAACCCAGAACTTCGATCCCCAGCCGCCGAACTAGCGGCTGGGTGTAGACCAGCCCAAAGTGATCTAGCTGCTCTCTGTGATACTTTATGAAAAGGATATACAGTGTATCAAGAATTTCAATATAGGAAAGACTTAGCACAACTACTTTTCTAAATATGAAAACTGTCTTGACTGATGAGGTGAAAATGGAAAGCTACAGTGTTTTGTGAAGAGTTCCTGGCCATTTTTTTTCATATTACAAGAGTGGCTAACTTACATATTTTAGCTCAGTATTTTAGCTTGTATCTCACAAGCTAAAGTAGTAAACATTTTGTTATTTACCTAAATGGACAGGAGGATAAGAATGAGTTTATTTGCCATCCTTACATAAATAATAGTCTGAAAAATAAGCTGAAAGACATTAGTGACTGGATCAAACACTATTTTAAAAATGTTTTAACAGGCTTTCATGTAGTTGTGTACCATTTGTCTAATAGAGAAAGATACAACATAAGGATCCTATCTTTAGACTTAGATATAGAGAATTTTGTGCACGCATCATGAATGTAGGTATGTGGAGCGGAACCTCGAACACTATTCTGAAGGGATATAAAGTATGAACATAGTAAAACTAATTATCATCTCGTAATTAAGTTTTTCAAATAATTTTTTCCCTAGCATATGGAGAAGTATTTTTGCATACTGAGTACATCAATCTAATTCAGGGAATATGACTGATAAGTTTAGAAAAGAATGCTCTTACAATCTGCTCCTCTAAATGAACAACTATTAAATTAGCACGTTACACTGAATACACAAAATTTACTTTAGAATAAGCAAATGAAGATTTAGCAGTTCAGCTGATTAACATTGTTTTTTATGTTGTTTGTGCTACTTCAGTAATAATGATAATAAATTCTGGTTTTAAAAGAATTAATTTAGCTAAGAACTAGTTTAAAAAAATGTAACAAGCTTGAAAAAAAATCAATGGCAAATCAGTAACTTTTTAATACAGATTATTAACTCACCAACAGTGACATGAATCATGAGATGTCATTCATGAAAGCTGAAATACAGTGTATTGTCTCCTATCTTGATATATATTATGAAATAACTAGGGATATTACTTCTAGCATCATTCGTACACATAAGGTCTGCTCTTTTCAAGTAGTACAAATGCCTAAATTAAGGAGGGTTATTTTTTTCTTTTACTACATTATTTTAAAAAGTCTAGTCTTTGTTTTTTCTATCTTGATTACACATAATGGACCACAGCTTATGCAGAGTAAACTGACTTCAAACAGAGCTATGCCACTTTACTGTGGTAGAGGATCTGGTCTAATGTGTGAAATTTACCTATGTGCACAAAGATCACACAAGGCCTTCTGAGCCCCACTTGAGTCTCTTTTGCGGGCCTCAGTGTTGTGGAAGGTTTTGTCTATATCCTCTTCTTTGGATGAGTTTAAACCACTATGATAAAGGAAACTTTTTGCCATATTCCAATACTCTTTCAGTATATACTGCTGCCTTGAACAGCTATACCATGTAATTATAAACGGTGTTGAATTAACTATGTATCTTTTCCCAGTTATTTTCCAACAAACTGAATCAGCTAATTAAAGAGGTGACTTGATTCATCTGTTCTTTACATTAGTTTTATGCCAGTGCAACTCCACTGAGGCCAACAACTACTGAGGCAGCTGTACAGAGGAACTACCAGGGCAGTAACAGAGGAAACTGCTACATCAACAAAAAACATGCTTGTGTGATGGGGTGTATAAACTCCACATCAGGTAGGAAGGGGTTAAGGAGTTGCTCTGTGCTCCAGTGGTCCCATACCAGTAAGTCACATCAAGAATGCATGACTACATTATGTAGTGAGACAGTGTATCCTGATTTACTGCCTGGAGACACCCAGTGATATAATCAATGGCACTGTACTTTAATTTGCATACAACAAAGATTAAATTTACCCAACAACATAATTAGGTGGATGAGTCTACCATGCTTTTTAATTTTGATGTTCTGTATTTGGAAGTTGGTTTACATTTCTAATCAGTGAATCAATTAACATGTCTAAGTAATAAACCCCTTTACTTTAGCAAGGCTTTAGTGTTGACACGAGTAAAGGTTGCAGGACCATACCTACATGTTTTCTCTCACCTTTACAGGCTTCAAAATGGCATCAGATTACTCACCATATTGTTGGTGGTTCAGAACCTTCTATTTCCAAGTAATCATATTTTTCTTCCATTTGAAAATCAGTAAATATGAGTGAAATGGTATCGCCAGGCTCTGCCACAATGGTCCATGTACAATCTGCATTATTATGATACTCATTAGGAAAATTGGGACTGGAGATCATGCCGCTGGATCCTCTCATTGTTCCTCCACATGCATCTTCAGCTGTTTAAAAACAAAAATCACAACATTTTCAATAAGAAAAAAAATTATGAAGTGTTATTAAATCACTCCTCAAAAACCAATGCTATGAAACTGCCACATTTAAAATAAACCTGCATGTGCTCCTAGAAAAAGTGTTAATAGTTTTAAGGGTTTATTATACATCATAAATATGCAATGTAAAGGTTCTGTTACCCTCTATGCAAATAGTCACTGTGTTGTTTAGTTTGTTTTGAAAATTAAATTAGTAATCTACGATTATTATTTTACCAAAAACTTTTAGAATCCTCTTTTGTGTGACTTTGATGAAAATTGTTCCCATTCAGTCTTATGAAGAGTGATATGAAAAACATCAAATTAATATTATGGTTCTCTCTTCTGCTTCAATCAGAATAGCTTTGGATCAAGCACATTACATCTCTGCTTAGCATTTAGAGTTTGGTTCATGTATAATTCAGCATTTATCTTTGAAGGAAGTTATGTTGAAAAATAAGATTTTGTTAACAGGGGCATGAGTACTCTAGCCACCCTTTGCTAATTGCATCATAATCATTTCATGGTGGTAGCTAATAGTTAGTATCTTATATATGGAAGCATAGATTCTTTCTTCCATTGCCTTTTCACTGAAAAACTAGTCACAGCATATCACTTTTCAGAACAATGCTGCTCATACATAGTGCCTTGAATGCCATCACCCTGACACCTTTGTGCTCATGATTTTTACAGCAGAGCCATTTTAATGGAGAGGAATTTTTTGATAGATCACATATTTCAAATATCTCTACACATATGCTTCTTTCCTGGATATTTATTCTATTCCATAATTTACTCATGACCATCTTCTGGATTATGCAACATGCTCACATTGGTGAGGATTTACTTATACAAACACTCCCATTGAAGTCAATTTGGACTGCTCCTGTGAGAAAGTGCTCTTCAGGTGAGGGTTCACAACAATTGGTGCAGTATGGTTTGAAGCATGCCTTATCCATACTGTAGTCAAAAGTATTTTTTTGAGCTAATAAAATACGTTGAGATTGTAATGCTACCACTTTCAATAAATGGAGAAATGTCATGTTTTATCACAGTAATTCAAACTTCATGATCCAAATGCGTGAGACATACTAGCAAAGGAATCCCTGACTATGGTCAATTAAAGTGCTAACATACAGTAATGAAAGCTGAGTTGGTGCCCGAATAATAGTCAATACTGCTGACAGATGAATGCCAAGATGAAGACACATTTATTTTTGAAAGAGTATATCATCATTAGTGCAAAAGCTTTTAAGACTTTGAAAACACCTGCTCAGATTCACTTCTGTCAGGGAGAAAATCCCAAATGGCTGCCATGATCCCATCAATTATGGCAGTTTTAGCTTAATTTTGTTCTTTAAAAGTTCTGCTAAACTGTTTATACGATCAAAAAAGTTTTAACAGTAAAATATCATTTAGGAGTCAATCTGGCAGGGTGCCCAGCACTCTCAATACCCATTCAAGTCAATGGAAATAGAAGATGCTCATTGCTTCACAGAATCAGGCCCTTCCTCACTGCAGGAATCCAATAGCAGGTGTGGTTGCGGAAACTTTGTCCCATGGGGTTGTGTAGTGAAGCAGAAATTAGCAAAAATCATAACTGTTTTTGTTCAACAGAGGCTAAAATGACTATTAAAATATTAATACAAGTAAGAGAACAAGGAATTTACCAATTGTGTCTCTACAATGGGGTTTGATTAGTATGCAGTATATAAGGCCTGGGGTCAGCCCTTGAACAATGAGGATAAACCAAAACATTGAATAGCTGCTAATTAACTGAGCTAATTAACTGAGCACTCCAACCTGGGCACTGAATGCGGGTGGGATGCTGTGGAAAAAATATGTGGTCATGTAATTAAAGACTATCATAATGCATATGGAGAAGGGAGCTGAATGAAGGTTGCACAGGCAGTCTTAATAATGGCATTTCTTAATTTTGGAGTGCTTCACTTTCCAACACAAATAATGTTCTTTTAACAATTCATAATATGTGGGTGACTGGGGACAACTTGACCTGTGCATGTAATTCTCTTTTGAAACCATAAAATTCAGATAGCATAATTTCTTAGCTATCAATCATAAAACAAAATAAACCAAACAGTCAACAAAAGTAAAATAAATTGACATCCTGGCAGTATGAGACAAATCTAGCAATGGTATATGAGGCAGAAAGGAAGAGAGAGGAAAGATGATCAACTGGCAAGGACACTAGCCTGCACTGTGGGAGGCCAAGCTTTAATTCCCTGCTCTGCCACAGATTTCCTTGACCCAGGCCAAGTCATTTAACTCTCTGCGTCTCAGTTTCCCCCTCTATAAAATGGAGAACTGTACTCTAAGTTGCCAAGGTAACAAAAATCAAACTCAGTCTGTTACATATATATGATTGATTATAAAAGTCATGGAAGTTAAGACACAAATATTCAATTAGTCCAAACAAAAAGGTCGATATTAAGATCATGACTTGTAAACAAGAGGAGACTGGACCAGAAATTAATTAATCAAAATTGGTGGGTCTGAAATTAGGACTAATTGGTGGACAAAATAATGAGGGATTACCCCCTGGTGTCTGAGCTTTGGGTTCCTGCTCTCCCTCCCTCCCTACTGTGTCATTTTCCTTCTCTTTCTTACCCCTTTCTCTTTGCCTTCCGCAATCCTGCTAAGACTGCGCACTGTGCTTGTTTCTCCAGCAATGAGGTTGCAAGTCAGAGTCAGCATCAGAGACAGAAGCTTCATTTTCTATCTTTGCTGATCTTTTTTATTCCCATTTCTGTGTGTTTGTCTTAAAGGAAGCAGAATCTAACTTTAACAATGAGAGCAGCTCCAATCCATCTCAGCTGTTTGCCCCAAAAAGACAGTTATTACCATCTTTAATACCATCTAAAAGGCTGTCAAACCGGGATGGGGAGAGGGTTCCTTGTGAAAGCTCTCTATACGTGAAGGGAAAGGAAATGCAGTATTCTTAAAATGAAAGCCTTACTTACTACCTGACATTTAAAATACTTGTACTGCGTTCCTTCTTTTCTGTATCTTTAGTAAAAGGTGATTTTTAATAGTGATTGTTGCCATGGGACGCAGCAGGCTACAGCCTCTACCCAAAACACTGAACCATGTTTATTTGTACAGGGTTGTACACCTTTGAGACTCTGGGCCCATTTATTTAATTAAAAAAAGATTAAAGAGCGTGTAAAAATCCCACTCTACACTGTAAAACAAAAACAAACAAAACAAACAAAAAACACAGACTTGTTTGATTTAAAAACTTGACAAATATGATGCAAAAGTCATAGATGGAAAAAAGTACAGAATTCCAAGATGACATTTTTGCAGATATACTTTTGTGATCTTAACCATATGTCAAAAGGGTAACTTTTCTAAGTGACATATAAGGGGGAACTTGGCTTCAACAGGTTTTTTGAGCATACTGTATTTAGAATTCAAATGAAGATTTACTTGAATATGTATGAGGCTTGTAATACAGAGGAATTACCTGTTTATTACATCTGCACCACCATTGCATCTGAATGGACCAACGTTATCAAAATACTAGTGAAGCTGTTTTCTTTCTGCTGGTCATTGCTAGGTTACCATATTGGTACTAGCTTTCATATCTGGATTTTCTGGCTAAATCATAGGAATAAACTGGCAACTCATGCTTAGTGAAAATTATTATCTGAAACTCTTAAACTGTGTTTTCCAATTCCCCTAACTGGTGACCCAAGTTTGAGTTCACAAGCTTTGTAGATGTCATAGTTGCCACTGACCACAGATACAGGCACTGAAGAAAACTGCGTCACTATGTGTTCAAAAGCATCTTTCTCATGGTCTCCCTCAAGCGATTATGGTAATGTGTTCAGCAGCTGGAATAGAATAATCTGGAAGTACTTTTTAATTAAAGCAGTTCCTGCTACTGTGTCAGATCCTTTAAAGTTTACCCAGTGAGTGGATGCTCCTATTCCTGCTGTCTCTTGTGAAGAAACTCCTCTGTAGCCAAAGTCATGCAGTTTGTACTCGAGTCCTTCTAAGCTGCCAGATGTCTCTAGCAAATACTTTGCCAAAATTTTCTTCTGCTTCCTGGAATTTGTGGCCACTGTGATTGGATACCATGACTGAACAAGAATAGTCCACACAAGAGATCCACTTCCTGGACACTATAGTGCTAATAAGCCATGGTCACATAAATACCACCCTATGCCGGAAACCTACTGACTGCTATACTTACCTACATGCCTCCAGCTTTCATCCAGACCACATCACATGATCCATTGTCTACAGCCAAGCTCTAAAATACAACCGCATTTGCTCCAATCCCTCAGACAGAGACAAACACCTATAAAATCTCAATCCAGTGTTCTTAAAACTACAGTACCCACCTGCTGAAGTGAAGAAACAGATTGACAGAGCCAGAAGAATACCCAGAAGTCACCTATTCCAGGACAGGCCCAACAAAGAAAGTAACGGAACGCTACCAGCTGTCACCTTCAGCCCCCAACTAAAACCTCTCCAGCACATCATCAAGGATCTACAACCTATCCTGAAGGACGACCCCTCACTCTCAGATCTTGGGAGACTGGCCAGTCCTTGCTTACAGACAGCCCCCCAAACTTAAGCAAATACTCACTAGCACCCACACACCACACAACAAACACACTAACCCAGGAACCTATCCTTGCACAAAGCCCATTGCCAACATGTGGGAGAGATAGCTTGGTGGTTTGAGCATTGGCCTTCTAAACCCAGGGTTGTGAGCTCAATCCTTGAGGGGGTCACTTGGGGATTTGGGGCAAAATCAGTACTTGGTCCTGCTAGTGAAGGCAGGGGGCTGGACTCAATAACCTTTCAAGGTCCTTTCCAGCTCTAGGAGATAAATAAATTAATGGAGATATTCTATCTTATTTAATTTAACTCTGTCCACATATCTATTCAAGGAACACCATCATAGGATCTAATCAATCAGCCACACCATCAGAGGC